GTAGATAGAATATGAGGTATAAGGGGGGTCTTATTAAAACATTCCCAAAGCCATATTCTATCTACTTAGGGGGGACTATACGGCTTGAAGAGTTTAGCGTTTAGGGTCTACCTGGACTTGAAAGTGTGTAGGATGAGTCTTTCTGTCTCTTTGTATGGGCTGGGCCAGTATTGTCCACTCTTGAGGTCCAGGTAGAGCAAAAAGACAGGTAGCCTTGGATTCCTGAATTTTTTGCAGGGAGGGTGGGGTAAGGTATGTTTAGCATCTTGGGCTTGGCTCAATGTTTTGTGGAGGTTCAGTAAGGTCTATTGGGTTTCTAGGCGTTCGCTAAGACCTGTCGAGAAGTAATTTAGGAAGATGTTCGAGGCCGCACCAAACACGGGACCCACAAACGCACCATGATGTGGCGAAATTGATGTCTAGCCATGAAAACTGTTATCAGCACGTGGCAGCGTGCTAGATGTTCACTGCTGAATTCAATGAAGGTAGGAATGCCTGAAAAGAGCTCTTGGAGACCATGAGAAGCTACACGATCCGTAGAGGGTTGTAGCACTGAGGCCCTTCTTAAGGATTCTAGCCAAATTTGAAAGCCAAAGCTCCGATCCATTAACCCAGCATTCTATCCGGACTCTATATAAACTCCCACCCTAAATTGCATTCTACCCTACTTCTATATACCTAAACATACATGTTAAACTTTACAAGTCTGAAAGCGTGCGAGGTTCTGGAAAACCTGCGCCACCGCCGGGAAGGCCTGCGTCTGCTCGATATCAAGGCGAGTGGGGGCCGGCCTCTGCTGCTATGTCTAGGCTCTAAGTCTATAAGTATACCTAGATTGGTTATCAAAGTCCATATATATATATATGTATATATCTATATATTATAGGCTTACCTCGAGCCATTTGGAGCAGTAGGTTTATGGTTGAGGGTTCAGCGGGCTTACAGGGCTTCAGGGTTTTATCCCTAGACCTGGATTTTGTATTATCGTATTTTAAGATAAGATGCATTATCAGGGTGGCCGATCGATCATTAGGTGACTGTTCCCGTGTGAGAAGCGTTCCCGAATGCCCTCTGTGTTTGAGACCCTCAAATGGCCATGTAGAGCACGGATGCGGTTCGCTGTACATAAAAGACTTACTTTCTCAGATTGCCCCAGGAAAAAGATTCCTTGTCCTTCCAAGTACTGCTGCTACTACTACCACTACTAGGTAAACACCATGAAGGCTGTCCCCATGGCTATCACTACTACCAACTACATTTCTGGCCGTGGGCCTAAAACGCTTCATACGCAAATTCTGCCCACACCCAAGACCTTGCAACCGTCTTCGCCACACGGCAGGCCTTAATTGTGTCCTTGGTTCCTTCATTCCCTTGACAAAGTTCAGCAGACATCAGGAATAAAATGAGACTCAGGCCACCGCTCCCACCTTAGACCTTTACCCCCCCCTCTATAACCTTACACGAAGCAGAGTTTCGAGTGAGGTCTTGGTGGCTGCAAAAGCCAAACTACCCGCAACGATGGGCTACTACACCCTGAACATGGGGAAAAATTAGCTGAACATGTTGTCTACTTGCATTCGAGTCAGCCCTCTTTAATTGACCCATAGGCTGGAGACCCTAAGCCGCCTAAGCCCGAAACACTGTTACTACGAGTATTGTCATCATCACCATTATTGGCTACTATTTAGTACTATTTGTACTACGACTAGACCCTAAACCCCTATATTATTATTGCTACAATTAATCCTATTGGAGGTTGGGGAGAAGACTGCCGCAGCCAACTGGAAGGGGAAATCCCGCCTGGCGGCACTCCGCCAGGGGCTCATCGATGAGCACACGAATTCCCAGGCACGGAGGGTTTAGGGTTTAAGA